TATTGCATCAGCTAGTGTTTGCCCCTATTCTTGTGACTACAACAGGGTGAGTAGTGCAGTGTCTACCAAAAACAGATTTTTTGCAAAGCGACTACGCAAAATTCAGTGTCACGCAAGTCTCACGGCTATTTACCCTCGGTGCGCATTCGCAGCAAGGGTTACAGTAGTTGGTTTGTCTGTCTGTCTGTGTGTCGACGCTTATTCTGGCACTACAGGCTACGAGGCGGCCTATTAGCGATTCTAGCGGCTTCAGACCTATGTACGTGAGCCTGAAAAATAAAAGGGCGATTTTCATGAAACAACTGCGTTCGAGAGATATGCTGCGATAAAAAGCGAAAAAGGAAATATGCATAATCACACTGGGCTTACCACGACCTGCTATGCGTACCTTGGAGGCTAGAGAAGTCACAACGAAGGGCGTGTATCGACTCCCGCATGCTATCTACTTGTAGCTGGCCCGTGTCAGACTCTCCACGAGCTACTAGCGTGGAGAAAACGAGTAAAGCTCTTGGCCCAACCCATCAATTACAGGTACCCCGCATGCGCAGTACGCCAAGGGTTCTCAATTTAGTGCTTTTCATTTGGGTAAAGTAAGACATTCACCCTATAGCCAAAGTAGACATGAGGGACTATCAATCAATTTTCTCAAGGGATGTTTGAATAGTGAGATTCCAATTGGTCTCCTCTATAGCTACCCAGCATAAAAACAACAGCTGTTTGTTGTGGGACACTGGTCTTCAAAGAAGCTGGAGGACTGGCTACACTGGGGACCACCTACTTATACAACAAAGCGTTCTTCCCTAGGTGAAGGAAATGTACATGAAACAACAACTATGTATTTTCAACATCGTTGTTTTTGTCACATGCAGTGAAGGTGTGGGGGGGCCAAGGGACTGCAGAGATGAGATGAAAGCGTGGGAAGTCCTTACTTTTAGGGGTTTAGTCTTAAACGTGTTGTTCTTTGAGTACCAGGACGGTATGGGTCCGAGCCAGTAATATACAGTAGCATCCCTTCACTGAGGATTTTCTCTGACACACAGGCTGACCAGTAACAGGTGGAAGTGGAGGCCATCTCAATTAGATCCGCACTGCTATATGCACCTCAGCTGGTGCGAAGAATCCACTTGACACCTGCTCTAATTAATTTTACCACAATTCCCAACATTCCTGGAATTCCTCTCAATTAGGGCTGTCACACACACACTTGCAAGATTAACCTCTTTCTACATCCATCCCTCCCTTTATCCATTACTGCCTCCTTCCCTCCAATATGCCTCTAACTACAGTATAATAATATTGTGCATGTATATATATGGCACACAGTACACAGTCATATGACACTTCCACATTTCTAATGGAAGGTTTTGATAGCGGCATTGTGACTGATACCACAACACATGAACAAATTGGCAAGGCTCAGCATCACCTGGTACACCCCTCCTTCTCCAAGTGGTATATAGTGCAGTGATACACACCAGTACATAGTTCATGGGTGTAACAATGACTATGTAGTACAGGAAAGACTATACGACTATAATCTCCATACACACTGCTCTCCCATTGTTATTGGGTGACGTATGTATGTACATACCATAGTAGACGGAGTGCTGGCGTGCTGAGAGAATAATAGTGCAAGACGGTGATGCAAGAACGTGCTAGTTATATATATAGTACAATGATTCATACGTTATTTTATTAAGTGTATTAATAGAAGCAGCCCTTCGCAGAGACGTGCCCCATGTTCCGTGTTCATTACAAGAGGTTCAAATCTACATAAACATGCACTACACATTCGGAACTGCCTACATGCATGTACACTGCACCACCCTAATACAAATGAACAGGTGTCGCGTTCCATGAGGATGATTAGGCTGGGAATGAGGCACACGGCTGCGTCATACGTTAGTACAAAGCAATCACAGTAGCATCAAGATTCCACAGACAGTGCCTCTATAGCTAAGGAACTGTGTCTTAACCACCTGCTCATGGGTTCCTTAACCAGTTCCGCAATCTCAATTTCCCCTAACTACAGATAGTATCATTAGCCTTGAACCTGAAACTGGGGAAGTAAAGCTCCTGAACAAAGAATTCTCATGGTTAAAACCTCATATTGCCCCCTATTCCCTCCCCCCCCAACACCTAACAAAAGGAACGGTTATGCAAAACTTACACCAAACTGTAAACTGCCAAATGTGTAAATCTATCCAGAATGGCGATATATAATGTGGTGTTTGCCTACAGCGAGTGTTCAGTCCAGTTCCAGTCTCACTCCACCATTGTCGTGGGTTCCTGCCTAGTCTACTGACACACTACGTAAGGGGCTCATACTGCATAGCAATGTACGCAAACATTGAGTGCATAGAGACCCTGCCAATAAGGATCCAGACTAGCACACATTACTGCTAGTGGACGTGGACCCCCCATGTAGAGTATGCAGTTTCAGAAAGGTTTTCCAACTGCAAATGTGTGCACACTATATATACATTGGTGCAGGGTCTAGCCCTACACACTCACAACAGGAAAGCAAGAAGTAAGCCACAAAGATTCTGCATTCATTATAGATTACTCCTACTCCATGACCAAGGCCACAGACACCAATTATATGTATGTACATGTGTATACCCACCAATTCCCACAGACACAGACACACACACACACTGACACAAGCACTCTGACTGACTGACAGACTGCAGACACACAGTTCAAAGAGAAAGGGCCTCAGAGACTCAGGTAAGCCATACCAGCTGTGGGAGTGTTTCCTCTGAGATGAATGAGGTGATTAGGCCTGTATTAGTGGCGGAGGCACTCCCCCCAGCCAGCCAGCCTGGCACAACACACAAACATTACACATCAACACATACGCTGCTTTGCTCAATAACTGGAGTGAGCTCCTTCAATTAACAGCAGAGGGGTTGTAATAGTACACAAAGCACACAAACATGTAGCTCAGAGTCAATGAAAGGGAGTGCATTATAAACCCCAAGACCCTTCACATCCCATAGCATGAAACAAACACTGCTCAGATAACAACGAGTGAACCCCTTCAATTTCAAAACTGCATAGCTAAAAGCAAGGTTCCCAGCAGAGAGGTCCCTCCCCCCTCATATCCCACAATACACAGATATTGAATCTACTTACATGGAGTAATAGGGACAGATTTTGGAGGGATCAAAGCATTGCTGGAAATCTCTGTATGTTGTATGAATTTCACTAAAAAACCACTACTCTGTTCTGTGGCAGATGTGTAAACATGCCAGGTTATAAAGTAGTATGCACCAAACTGCTAAGAAAGAGACAAGTTTCGAGATTAGCGCCATGTGTAGACTATCATTCATATCTCTGGCACAATGGACTAGATTTGTAAAGGCACATGCACGCACGTGTGTGTATAGATGGAAATGTTAGCCTACCATCACACAACTTATTCTGCCCATCAGAACAATACCCATTTGCACCGCATGTACTGTAGCACTTGGTATAACATGAACGGTTCCTTGGAGCGGGCGTACAATACCTGTTGTCCAAAACAGAGCAACACAGTGGACCGGTATGTTCCTTGCACTATCTGAGCTGTCGGCGTACACAAGAACACACGGAAGAAAAGCACAGGTGTTTCTTTTACAAATGGCGACAGTCTAGTGCCAAAGACAGAGACACGAGTCCTGTGAGCTAACAACAGTGTGGTTTTGCTGCCCAGTCAAGCGTGACACGAGAGCGTGTCGCACACGACAGACGTCATTCGCCAACAAAATGTCCCTCCACAGCTGGCCTCACAGAACACAGGCCATGATGTAACGAGGACATGTATGGAAAACACACAACTGGACACAATGACCAGTTTGTAAAACACATGCTTTTGGAAACTGTCATTAATTTTGATGAAAAAGGCAGTGTTGCGTGAAATGGGGGTTTAAGGGGAAGAATAATTACCGAATTTCTGACAGCAACCGACCCGTGAAAACCAGCAGTGACATTCTCACCTTGCATGCAGAGTCACCTTTCCTACATTCCAGTAGCAAGAGAGAATAATATGCTACATAGAATTATGCCTAATTTTACATCTCCCACAGAATATTTTATTGGTAGGACGGCCTTCTTCCCCCACATAATACATACATATGTATTTGATACTAGTAGAACGCAAATCGTAAGGTTGGTGCTCTGTTAATATGATACGCTTGCACAAGGGGAGGATTAAATTCCCTCAAGACCACAGGACAGTAAAAACGACAATGTTGTGCATGGTCTGGTAGGCCCACACAAGAGAGAGAAGGATAAGAGGGTTGTGCACACTTCACACCTTCTCCCTCCTCCCCTCCCCCTCATACCAACGGTGTTGAATCACACAGCCAGCTCAGGGAGTAACATTGCAATCCAGCACTTTAGTAGTTGTACATGCATGCTGAGGGTAACTGTAACTGTGTAGGTTCTCAAGGGTCACCACAAGTATGAAACTGCATCTCATGTGACACAAAAACCAGATCTTGGTGTATGGTGGGAAGCGGGGAGAGTTTATCAACAAAAATACCAATAGCCCGCCCACTTTGTAGGTTCAGTTACATAGGCAGTGGAGTAGTGGAGTAGTGGTGTTCCTCCCACTAACCAGCAGGGAAACTGGCTCAATAGTAAACCAACCACACACAGGTTTACCCAGGGCCACGCTGATGTAAAGTGTTACGAAAACTACAGTGCATTCTGCAGCATGTGTTCATATGTACGGTGTGCTCTATTATGCTGCTGCTATATAGCACATTGTAGTTTCACATCCTTGCCACATCCTCCACCAAAACCTGTGTCTTACAAGCTACTCAGAGATTTACAGAAGCAGCTAGGCCACATGTGAAACATGCGGGCAAATCCACGCCAGATCATTAAAGAGAAGTAAAATGGGAAGGAGAGATCGCTAGAGTGCTTCATATACTGTACGGCATCATAGTAAAAGAAGATAAATAGAGAAAGAAACAAAGAGAGGGGGGATGAGAGAGAGGAGGGTAACTCACGGGTCGGTGATCCATCCAACGTTCTGTTGCGGAGGACACACATCCCGACACACACGATGGCCAGGACCACAATGATCATGAAGAACACTGCCGCGATGGCCACCACCACGTACAGCCAGACGGAGGAGGGTTCTTGGTTGGTGGGGAGAGAAGTGGCCACTGTTGGGTCTGTAGGCGAGGGAGCACTGGATGAGAGGTTGGTGGGAGATAGGGTGGGAGAGGAGGAGGAGGGGTGAGGGAGTGAGGTACTAGTTGGGAGAACCACAGGTGTTGAGGTTGGTTGGCTATGGGAGGAGGTTGCAGGTGGAGCTTCACAGGAAAGAGACATGGGTACAGGGCTGTCCGCTATAATTACTGCACATTTCCCTGGAGGTGGAGCAGCACTGAAGAGAGATCCATTTATACATGCTCCTAGACCACCTATTAACTCAAGTTTATCCGAGTCTCCTAACTCCAACTGATTACCAGGGACATACTCCTCGTCTCCCAGCATGTTACACGTGTATTTACCAGCATAATCATCAGTTATCCCATTGATTGTCAATCGAGACGTAATGTTGCGAACTTCTGCTGTCACTTGGACTAGAGACTCAATGGTGACGTGAACGTCATTAGTCAACTGCTGGCAGTCCATGAACCAACCAATAGTGATGTCGGTAGCATTCAAAGGAACCTCCACTATACATTCCAACCTCATTACACCACTGATATAAGGACTACAGTTGGGAAAGTGATTCAGATGCTTCGTGTACTTGTGTGAACAATTTAAATCTGCAGAATGAAAAGAGCAACAGCAATTCATGGGGCACACTTCCGACTCTGCATGCACATCCTATACTCTCTCACGTTCAGCCTTAACCGACTATAATACCAGATGCTAGGGAAAATGCACAAGCAGGACACACCGACACGAACATGCACTATCGACGGTAATGGCCTTACGTTCTGCGCGGACTCTTGCACACAAAGGCAGCAGGAAGATCCAGATCACCAGGCGAAGAACTAACGTGCGGTGCAACACAGCACGACACCTTTCACTTGTCTCATCCGCCATCGCACAGTGGGTGGTAAACGGTGGGAAGATACGGTAGGTAGCAGCTAGCTAACTGGCCGAAGTCGCACAGGTTGCGATGTCAGCTGCGGCAGTGTTGTGACTGGGGGCTGCAAAACAAGCGAGAGATCACACAACCACCGACCCACTACTTCAAACTCGGAGACTCGGCGATCGTATCCGTTCCGTGCTAGTTCTTTGTTAGAACGATGCGCTCTCTCTACACTGCATGCATTGTACAAACACTGCCAGCCTCAGCCTGGGTAAAAGCCACAAAAAGCCAAGGCTCATGAATCCGGAGTTCCCACGATGACGACTTTTATGCATGACCACCACCGCGCGCCGCAGCCCGGCCATGGGGGACCTTTGCGCATGCGTATAACGCTACAGTCAGCTAGCTGACACTATCCCCACAATAGTGTGAGCATGCTATTGTTGGTATTGATTGTTCCCCAGGCCCAGCAAAAAAAACTATCATCTTGCATGGTATAAAACAAACCTGCTTATGATGAACAAGATTGTTAGTCATTTTTAGCATTCATTATCAAAACTCATGCATAATTTAAGTATTATTATACAAGCATAATTATGTAGTGTCAGTTTTTGCATCAAACTGCAAATGAACCCAATGTCCTATATATTTGGCCGTAGGTCTAATTATATGGTGAATGGTCTTTTTCCCCATGTAGCTGGTCACCAACTCATATCTTCCCTACAGCATAATTGAAATGCTAGGGAACTTTATTGCAGCTGGGCAATTATTTCCCATTTAACTATCCATCACGTCACGAACGAATGGCGTAATGCAGTGTCTACCTGGTGTGCAAGAAAATTCTTTATTGCGTAACTTTGACAGGTAAGAAATTACACAACATTATATCATACAAAGTGTAAAAACACAGCAGACACACACTCAGAAGGACAACTGATCAATGGCACTGTTGTCGTCTTCATGATCAATCAGCCTCTTAGACTCTTCACTCAGTGACACATATCCCCTGTGAGCACTGCATTGGTGTGTGTGTGTGGGAGAAGAAAAGAGAAGATAGTCCTGGAGTGTGGGAGGTGTGTTGGCTGCCTAGTGGTCCAAAGTGTATGCATCATTAACTGTTGACCCACTTCTACTCTACTTGGGGACATTGGGCAATATTGAGCTACTACTCCACTCTATGGTTTCTGTGCTAGTTTATGATATTATGTGTAAAGGCACCTAAGTTATGGGAAACATGGGGAGCAAGGTGCTAATGTTAGTATATGTGTGTATGTTCTACATGTAATACAAGCACAAGAGTAGGACATGGATGCCGAACCTTGACAACTTGGGATGGTGGGTTAAAGATCTTTTATGGCTAGCCAACTCTCCCCATACATCCAATGTCACAGACTCTTATGGAAAATCTACACATTTACAGTACTGTATTGAAGTGTAGTTACAATCACATCACTTAGGCTATCCCGGGACTTGGGAACTTGCACTCCTATGGTTCTACTAACGCACAGTGGGTATAGGGAGTGTAATGTCTAGGTATGGAATTTCCAAGGGGGAAGTGGGTTTGTTACTCTAGGGTCCTGAGTGATGTATTTACTCCAGTGACAATCACAATGATGCTGTGTGCGTGTGAGTGTGGGTTTCCAATGTGTGCATTTCCAATGTGTGCATCCAATGTGTGCATGCGTGTGGGTGTGCAACACAAAAGGATGATAAATCACTAGCTAGGATCTAGAGAGGAAAGTCCTCGAATATTTGAATGCCGCTCAGTGACCCACTTCAAGTCTAGTCTCTGTACATATAGTTAGAAGATTCCTTTCTTTCCCAGATTAGAGGATGAAGCCTTATGCTTTGGTCCTGTTCCCTGCCATTAGAACAAGACCAGAGTGGAGGGAATTTTATGGAGTCTGTGAACGAGAGAGATGCTGTGTCAGGGAAGAGGCTAGAGTTGATTTTCTGAAGTCTGGGAATGAAGCTAGAGTAATGGACAAGACATGAGTAAATTGGAATGAGACTAGAGTGGATGGAGTCTGGGAATGAGGGTAGAGTGGATGGGGTCTGGGAATGAGAGTAGAGTGGATGGGGTCTGGGAAGAAGGCTAGAGTGGATGGAGTCTGGGAAGAAGGCTAGAGTGGATGTGGTTTGAGAATGAGACTAGAATGAGAGTAGAGTGGATGGGGTCTGGGAAGAAGGCTAGAGTGGATGGGGTCTGGGAAGAAGGCTAGAGTGGATGGGGTCTGGGAATGAGGCTAGAGTGGATGGGGTCTGGGAATGAGAGAAGAGTGGATGGGGTATGTGAATGAGAGAAGAGTGGATGGGGTATGTGAATGAGACTAGTGTGCTGTAGATGAAGTAGTTCAGTCAGGTGTACCTGTGGTTCCGGGCGGCAGAGATGGTGGTCTTGATGAGGGCCCAGAGAGGGTCCCAGGAGCCAAAGTGGTCGAGGACAGTCACCAGAATAAAACAGACCACCACCACCAGAGCTCCCACAAAGAACTCCACTGAGAACGGTTGCTGTGTAGGACAGAATTTGATGGTGCATAAAGATCTCCACACACACAATAATTATGAAAGTACAAAACAGTTGCATTATGTCTTGTTACTGAAGACATTTGTATAATAAAAGCCACCAAATTCTTGACTTACTCACATTTCTGGGTGTTTGGATTATCATCTATAAAACTCACTGGATGTGTGTCTCTGTGTACATGATACACTGAGTACACTACACTAAAAGTGTGCTAAAATGGTTGCTACAGGAGAAAAAATGATTATACTGGTTTGAGATAGGCACAAGATCTACACACCTTTGTTCATAGAGTCGTTCATTTATGTCTGTCCTTTTGCTCTACCATTATTGAGACGGTGTCAAAGATGTATGTTTCTCTTTTGACTTTGACAGATATCTATGTATGTACGTCCCAGTGACTTGCACACTGAAGTGACCTCATTCTGAGGGTGTTTTGTGGTCACTCAATAGTCTGTTCACCTGTTCACTGCTTACATCATGCTGACACGAGGTATCTACTGTATGTATCTAGTCTATGTATGTATACATAAGAATATGGTGCTGTTGGTATAAAGTTAGTGTGTAGAACTTGTTATCCAATTTGGGTCCTTTTCAAGCAAGTACCCAAGAGATGAATGCTATGCCTACTACGCTTGTATATACTACACAGCAGCTAGCCCACCCACACCTCCCACTGAGGGTCAGTAAGACAGTAGCATAGCAATACAAGGCCTTCTTTCACCTCTTGTGCCAGTGATGTACACTTGCATAACTTTACATAATAATACCCTAAGGCTTCAGGGGAAGAGCTTCAGCTCAAAACCAGGAGGAACAAAACACTAGTTTGGTTAGATCTCTCTAAGTAGGGAACATTGGGGAGTTTTGATATGGCTGTGGGACCCAGACTGCCCACTAAGACCAGTGATGATAAGATACAATACTGTGATACTGGATACCCAGCATTGGTACTTGAAGCTACTATCTTTGTGGTATAGCATACATCAGGGGGAACAATTTCAGGGTTGGGATTGTTTGATAAACCACCCAGTGGGACATTCAGAGTCTCCAACTATAACTTTATTCCAACCACAAAATCAGGACACTTTACTTCTCATGTGTAGCAATCTCTAAGCCATTATTATTGGTGAGCGAACCGAGCCTACTTATATTGTATGGAATTTACTGACTGGCACTGCACACATGTATAATTATTGTAATGGTCTACGTGATTATAAATACGTGTATAAGTGTGAAATATTGAACTGCTTCCTTCGCCCGCCAAAAATGTGTTCATTCCTCAACACATCACTACAGGGCATTGATCAGACATGAGATATGAACATGAATGATTCTAACCGGCTGATATTATGCGTATGTAAAATTGCTGTGTTACAGTGCAGTGTACTAAATTAGTGAGAGAAGCAATACAACCTATTCGTCTCAATGGGGGATATTTTCTATATTTTTAATAACACGGCTCGCTTTGCTAACCAAATATGGTGCTGCATTCTTCTAGTATGAGATTACACAGTAAAGGACAAACTACAGTAAGTATGTACAGTACCTGTCCAACGAAGACACTGTAAGTGATGCTGAGAGGAGTGACTAGAGCCAGACTCAGGGTACCCACCAGAGGTGACGTCAGGAACACCCCTCTGTAGTAGTGTGAGTGAGTGTGTGTGAGGGGGAGAGGAGGAGAGAGGGCGAGGAGGGGGAGGAGGAGGGGGAGAGGGAATTTCATTTATTTGGTAAGCATACCTGTAGTCATCTAAATTATGTGTTTTTAATTCTACCACACATACAATGTATTAATGTTGTGCTAAAACTGAACTCATTTAAAGCTGGAAAATTCGATATCAAACTGTACACTCAACAGACTCCATCCCATGCCCATATTAAGCACACAACATCCACAGAGCGCAGGCAAAATATTAGCAAGCTGCAAAAATACATTGAAGTCAATACAGTGCAACACACGAGAGAAGTTGGTAAAGAAAGATTCCTTACCCCAGCCAGACTAGTTCAGAGATGACAGTGCCGAGGAATCCGTTAACGAGGAGGAGGGTCCAGACGTTTGGGGTCGGAGGCCACTTGAACTCCTCCAGACCTGTGTAGTGCCACACCAGGACCAGTGGGAGGAGCAGGACACTGTCAAACAGACCCACAAACCCTGCAGGATACCGTTACAGGCACAGCTAACAACAACATACACATATCAGGAGGAAGGGCCAAAGAACAGTGTTGTGGGTTCCAATCCTCCCATTTGCGTTTCCATTTTTGTGGCCTTTTCGGAACACTTTAGTTGTTTTAATGCGCTGCGTTGCACAATTAATACTGAAGCAAAGCCTAATTGCAATAAAAACAACAAAATGTCTACGGAGGAAAGTTAAAGAGCAGTGTCGTGTGTTCAAATCCCTCCAATTTTTATCGTGCACCTTGCCTTTTACTTTATCAACACACTTTAGTTGTTTTTGTGTACCGTGCAGCGTCAATGTTGCAACAGAACCCATGACGTAATAAGCACAAAACAACCCAGGAGGAAGATTAAAAAGCACTGTTGTGGGTTCAAATCTTCACATTTTTGTTGCAGTCGTGTCCCGTGCCTAGTTGTTTTAGAGTGCTGTGCAAATGTTCTCAAAAATATTTCTCTCTAAATGATGCACTTGCTCATGTTTTTATTTTCAGTAGAGCAGTGTTGTGGATTCAAATCTCTCCAATTTTGATGGATCTGCGTCGTGTGCCATGCCTTCACTTATAGATGCACTTTAGTTGTTTATAATGTTCATAATACTATACGCATATTTCTCTGAAAGTGAGTGATCCGATAAATTGAGGTACGTCTGAGAATGGCAGGCATCCAATGTTCCAATTTGTACTGGAGTTAAAAACACTATTCTATGAGCTCTAGGCTCTGGACCTTTGATGGGAGGGGGAAGCCCTGTGTTCAGGTGCGATAATTGGGAAACCAAAATTGAGTCTAAGTAGTCGATGGTACATTATATACAGTACAGTACAGTAGAACCTCACTTATCCAGACTTATATATAATAAATGGTCCACTGGGTAGTCCCCATCCTCATACATAAGTGCAATATGCATGTACAGAATGGCTATCATAGTGGATCACTCGCAGCAGAGAGCGTCAGTGTATCACCATGAATGCAGTTATGCAGCCTTAAACTGAGCCATTACTCCATGATTAATGCCCAATTATTACATTTCACGTGTGTAAAACCTGCTATTACAGACTTGGGGATTTATATACTCCTTGGTACCCATCTACATACCGGGGAAGTTGAAGTTTAACTGTATGTTTAGTAGTACAAAGCCCCCATTATAGGGTCAACAGAGGCTTGCATTCATGCAATGGATCTTGCGTGTGTATGTACCGAAGAACATGGGTAGTTCCAGAGAATCAGGATTCTGTACCAGTTTCTTCAGCAGCACAAGGTACACTGCATATCTGACACACAAAATACAACAGAGACACAAATAAAGCGAGTAAAACGTGAATGCAGTCTGCTTGCCAAACCTTTACATGCTGTACATACATCACTAGAGTGATTGGACTGAGGTAGAACATTCTCTCACAGAGAATGGTGTACGTGTTTCAGCCTCTCAGCCAATCTAAGCAACTATTATGCATTGACACTAATGGTGTACCCCCTCTCCCTGAAAGCAGTATGTATAAGGTTCGACAATGCCTGAGCTACATCTGTATAGTTCTTGTGTCACTCACTGAAAGACACTATAGTTAGAAAGAGAAATGCTACATCACATACATACAGATCCACCTAACTGTCTAAAGTCAGGTGGGCTATTACACCAACTTTACTGCCGTGTCCCACTGCCCTGTTGTAACGTGTACTGTTTCTTCTGGGACAGGTCACCATTCACCAACAGCTACTGCCGGGGGAGACCTTATAGAACGCTTCTTGTTGCACACCATGAACAATAGCTTATTCTCTTCTCTTGTATGTATGTCAGTCCAGTAGCTATGTATGTTTACCCCAGTATGAGGTAGTCTGTACCTTCTGACAAACATGATACCCACCCTACTTCTATTGAAAGGTTGAAAGGCAGTGGGTTCTTTCTATAAGTAGTGATAGTGTGTGTGGGGCTCACTCACAGGAAGGCACTGGCTATGTAGATCCAGTGGAACTATGTACACACTGTAACAAGAGAGTGTGTGCAGGAAGGAAGTGGATAATTATAGAGCAGGAGAAGTGTTCCAAGAATGCCACTGGATGGAGACCTACATATACTAGCAGTGGGTTCTAGGTACGATGTGTATGCTGTGGCTAACTCACAGGAGGGACCTGGATATAGAGAAAACCCAAGCTACATAGCAGTGTGTTCTAAGTATCTACTATCTACTAGAATGAATGCAACGCATTTTGCCAAGTGAATGTAAGTGATTTTTCGCATGCACAATTGGAACCACATACAAGTATTACGGTTTGTGCAGTGCTCTTCACTCACATACACGACACACACATAGAGTAAAAACTCACTCATTAAGACGACAAGGTAGGCGTGCTTCGCTTGCCAATAAAGCCGTTCTATGGGATGCCTCATTGGATGCTGGCAGTAGGTTCTATGCAAGTGTTTGGTTCACTTACATGTATATCAGAAGGCATAAATAACTGGAAATGGTTCTACGTGAAGTGTGTGTGGTTGACTCACAGGAAGGCACTGGCTAGAGCGAGAAGAGCCCCGACACTCCAGTACTGGTGGTCCCTCTCGGTGGAGTCTGATATGCTCACCAGAGCCTGCTCCTCCCACACTGCATGCAACAACAGACACAGTATATACACATCAAGTGATAATTTACTGTGCCACGACACAACTACGTATTTAGTTAAGGTTTGACACTGTATTCACATTTGAGCCCCGCCAGCTAAGTTGCCCTGGTACATATATACCTCCCTATCACGTGTCCTGGGTTTGAATCCCGCTCAGGCCAGCTCTTTTTTCAAGCTCCCCTAGCTGGGCCTTTGCTTCTACCACCTTGCGACCTTATTCATGTTTACATCGTAGAGCACAGAGCAGTCAACCTATGAGGTCTGGTCTAATTTTGATAAGCGGACAATGCATACACAAAGGACAGGAAGCATACTTGCAATTTGTAAATAGATAGACTGGAGTTCATAGAGCATGGGTGAGACCTGGCACATTTGGATAGGCCTAGAAAGTATACCCAAATAAAAGGACAAGGAACATGTAGCTTGCTAGAGCTGGTCCTTCAACACTGCTGCGATTACAAAGTGTGCAGGTCTGGCATTTGCTAGGACACTATCATACTGGTACATGTAGCTCTGAAAGGAGGAAACAATGCTAGAAAGTTTTTTTACTTACTCCACAACGGGCTGTTATTTGTGAGTGTGGACTTTAGCAAAAGGGAAAGTCGACTAGGTTGTCAGAAACCTGATTACGTATCAACCTAAACATTTTCAGTTACACTGTCTGCGACTAACATAGCCTTTCAGAGCTGACCAGTATGACTGCAAAAGAAACAGACAGGTTTCATCTGTGTGGATGACCAGGTAATTAGTTGGTAGACACTTGGCAAATACTCTCTATTAGTAGGTAACCACCATTAACAATACTTAAAAGTGAGGCTGTGGCTTTGTTGGAATGGTGTACATATGGGATGAAGGAGAGCAGTGAGTGGGGTAATGGTGGATCAGCAAAACAAGGAAGAGCGGTGTGGGTTAAAGTAAACAATAAAGAGTGAAGAAAGATAGCACTGACTGAGAAAACACACTGTGACCGCGTTATTCTGTGGCTGAAACAAAACTCAGCAACAAGCGTACCGGATGCAAGGACATGTTACATAAGGCAATTCAAACGCTCTTCATTCTCATCAAGACTTCTAGAGCAGAATTTGTGAGTAGCAGAAAGTGCTGTGGAGAAAGAGGGAAAGAAATAGTTTTTCTGCTAGAATGGGTGAGCAGTAAGTTATACATGTTGTGGTTTGAGGTTTGCCTTTGTATTGTGTCATTTCGTGTTGAAATGTGAACCCCACCAGCTCTGGTAGCTCACTTTATAAAGTGCTCGACCTACACTTCATAGTGTAGTGGATTTGAATCCCATCCAAGGCCGCTCTTTTGCTCTCCTTGGAAAAAAGAGCTCTCTTTTAGCTGACTTCTTTGGTTTGCCTTTACTTTGTTATTCACACATGAAGTGTAAAAATTATGTATGAAGGCTAAAAGGAAAACTCTGTTACATGTACGTACACATTCTTTTTCAAAGTAGCTTAGGTTTAAATAATGACGTGCTTGGTTTTGCATTGTAAAGCAGCAGAGACTGAAATTGCTGCATGGGCACTTTTTGCTATTGTTGCTGTGGCACTGGCAGCAACGTGGGTCATCCTGGCACGAGGCTACTGGAAATGGAGAGCCCTCAAGAGAGAAGTGGAAAAAGGTGAGCTTAGCTGTATTGGCCAGAAAAATATGGTTAAGTCAGTAAAACTTACTCATTAACCTTTGGCACGCATGCACAGCGCGGATTACGGTACTTGGTCGGTGTGTCTGTGTGTCCGTTTTCTGCCACTAGGCGCAACAAGATCGCCAAACGGGTTTGGCGCTACATTTGCTTGATTGTAAAACTGGCGATTTTCGTAAAAACACTGCGTTCAAAAGTTATGGTGTGAAAACCAAGTAAACAAGCCAATATGCAAATTAGCACTGGCTTACCTCGACAAGATGTGCTCGCTCTGCGTACCTTGGAGGCCAACGAAGTGCGTGTATCGACTCCCGCACGCTATCTACTACTGTAGCTAGCCTGTGTCGGACTCTACGCGAGCTACTAGCGTGGAGACAACAAGTAAACTCATACTACAGCCCAGCCCATCAATTCGGTATCGCGCACACGCAGTTCGCCGAGGGTTTGCACTTCAGTGCTTTTCATTTGTATGGCAACATCGTTTGATCACTAAAATATGTGAGGGTGTTAGCAAGTGGTTGTAGACTTTCTTCTATGTCACAATATACTGGCTCATTCAGGCTTCCTACAAGAAGTAAGGCTAAGAATGTAAATGATTATGGCTGTACTATTCCACAGGAAAGAAGGTTGATCTGAACATATCGAACCCCATCAACACACAGCGCTGTTTCTCTCCCTGGGAGAACAGGACAACACCAGAGAACAGGAGAGTGGGGAGAGATCAGCCACTAACGACAGGGGCGTCCCATACAGTGGGGGGTGGCAGACCAGGGGGAGGGAGAGGAGGGGACGAGGAGGGGCGGCGTAACCTCAGAGGTGACGCAGAGAACGGGGCGCTGGAGGTGAGCGAGTCTGGGAGTTACATACGGGGCTCCCAGGTTGGGAGGGGACCCCATGTACAACCTCGAACAGCAGGAGGAGAGGAGGAGGAGGGGGCGGAAGGAGGGATGAGGCCGTGGATTGTCAGGTGCGGGAGGCAAGCGGTAGCATATTGAGCCAGAGGTCTGACTATGTTGATAACTCGGATGTCTGGGTGTCGCGGGACAAGGACGGCCAACCAAGGACCATCATCATCCCACTCACCCGCCAACCGATACCTGGGGGAAGAGGAGGAGGGGAGGAGGAGATGGCCGTGCCAGGCGACCCCGAGGACTATGTCGATATGAAGGCCATATCCTCCGCCGACCGCTACCTGGGTCTGGTACGACGCGACTACCGGGGCCTCGCAGACGTCCCCGAGGAGGACGCAGACCCCGCCGATTACGAACACCCTCTCTCCAGCGAGAGGGCAGGAGAAATATCGCAGGTGGAGGAGGGACGCCAGGATCATCGTGGCCCTAGGGTGGCACACAAGGGAGGTGTCCTCCCTTCACTGTCGAATGCAGTGGCCATGCCTGGGAGGCCTGGTGGAGCTACTGGGGGAGGGGTCTTGCCGGTAAAACGCTACATAAACGTAGAAGTGAAGGAGTTCGACCCGTCGATGGACATGTTCTGTTCGTCAGAGCACCACAAGGATACAATGTCTCACGACTCGAACAACCCACCAGCAGCTACCACATTAGCTACCACAGTAGCCGAAGGAGAGGATGAAGATGATAGGGACAAGGCTCAGAAGAGGCACCACGACTACATTAACATAGACGGGGAAAAACTGCCACCTGAGAATCCTCCAATCCCTAAGAACGGTCACTGAACATAGTGTATATATGTAGCAAACAGACATGCGATACACTTGCATCCTGAGATTGTGCAACACACTGGTCAAACTGTGAACTCATTTTTTATTGATGCGGACGTGGATGCATCCACACTCATAGACAATTCATTACGCACACTTTGTAACCATATTTTTCTTTCAACGTTTATCACGGTTATGTATTTATTGTACGCCTCGTTCTCCAGTAGTTAATATCCTAGTGTTCATCATGTTCATATGTGTATGTGTATGTCTGCTAGACAAAAGAAACTATATATCTGGTAAGCAAACAGCCGCAGTGTTTGTGACAAACACCAGACTGTTTAGTCAGGATGTGTGTTTAGAAAGTTGTCATGGCTAGTGATTACCCCCAAGGCTGCAGATCACACAAACCAGTGGAGCACAAACAAGTTTGTGGCCGTGGTGTATGTACCTAGAAACAACGTACACTTGCGTAAACTGTGAATCCAACTAAGGTCAGCTCAGCGAAAACTCTCTCCCCAAGGGTGAATAAGAACTGCCCTGGGTGGGATTCAAACCTACACTGTATATGCTAGAAAGCCTGGGCATATAGTCATCTTTGCCTTGCAAGTGTTATGCCTATAAACAGAAGATGTTAGCTTCTGTTCTACAAAAGATGTGTTATTGAGCCTACATATATAGCCATTGATGTAGCAACTTTCAATATTAATAGATATATCACCTAATAATAAAATATTATGTATAGGTAAAAAGTTTGCGAACAACATTTCGCAAATTATGTAGACGTGGATTTTTTTTGCAAGTACAGCTTCTACAGAACCACACATGTCTGCTAAAACAATTATGGTGAAAACTTGCTTTTAATCCATTCGGATAAATAGTTGTGAAAGCTCGTGTAAGTTAGGCTGGGTTCACAATATGTCACATGTCACATTGCCCCGTTGTGCCTTGCAGCTTTGCCGCGTCGCGAGGATAGAATCCATTACTACACATCTTCGCGACACCACGCGACACGGCTCATCGAGACGGGGAAATGTGATATACATAATTATTGTGGACCTTAGTCTTAAACGCTACAATTGTGTGAGTGACAATGCTTATCATAAGAGGAGAGGAGGCATACAGTACATACCTGAGGAGAGAGACGAGGACCCGGGAGAGGGTGATTTTGTCGCCAGGCTCTCTGGGGAGCAGTGGGACGGCGGCCATGATCATGACAAAGACACTTGACATGGAGCTGAGGGTGTTGACCAGCGCCACACTCTTGGACACCAGCGCCAGGGCATACAGATAGTTGGCAAAGAACCACTAGAGGGATATGGAAGGAGGGAGGGGGAGGCAGTAGGAGGGGGGTATAGTTGAGGCTTTACGATGCAAGTACTAGTAGTTAGGACGTATGTGTGTGTGTACGATGTTGTTGCTGGTCCCTGTATGAAGGTTAGGGGAGCAGATACTTACAGAAAATTTGTGCAAGCTGCAGCAATTTTGTGTAAGCTGTTTTGATACAAAAACAAAATTGCTGATTTGTTCTATTAAACATGTACAGTATAAGCACATTTTCATACGGGACTGATGTTGTGATATTTTATACAGTACTGTATTCCAAACAAAAGTGACATACTGTACATAAATGTATACTAGGAATGCGCACGCACATATTTTGCCTCACGCCTGCCAGCAGCCAATGCGTAAACAGTCCAACTGAGGCCACTCGTGCGCGCGCTCTACTGACTGCGCGCGAAGCCAGACTTTCTACGAATCTGCGCGCACGGCGGAAGCTAGACTTCCTACGAATGACGGAAGTTACACTTCCTTTTGGTGACTAATTGACATTCCTAAGCGTGACTAATTGACTAACGTACGTACGCATATCGCGAGAATACAACCCGGAGTAGTTGCCTCACGCTAACGCGCTCTGCAATAATGACAGAACACAGACTTTTGGTTCTTTAACTAACACATTTAACAGGGCTGCAAAGTGATCTTAAAACCCTTTGGACACCATGGGTATCTCCTTAAATATGCACAAACTGACACATTAGCGCCTAGTACTATAGCCCTATATAAATTCTTATTGGTTTATGGAGGCACTGAACATTACTTGTATGTCCGTGGCTTGGTTAAGCCACATGAGGATGATGAATCAGGTACAATTAGCCCACGTTTCTTTAGGGGAATGCCCGGTGGTCCCAATGTACATACGTACCACTATTCCAAACACGAGTGAGAGAGATGCAACCTTCCAGACAGGCATGAGAGGAGCTGGTTCCCGTCTCACAGTACTTTCACCTGGACAGAGGACACATGTACACACCCACCCAGTGGTCACAGTCAACAGACAGTGGATACACACACACACATTAGTAGTCTCCGGTCGAGACAGCAGAAAAAAATAGTGGACATGTTGTAGATGTACACGTATATAGGAGAGACGATGTGGAAAGTCCAACCAGCCGTTTCTTTGGTAGAATTTTCTATACTAGTGGAACCCCTCTAATCCAGACACCAATGGGACAGAAGGAAGTGTCCATATCAATGAGGTGTCATTACCCTCGGCGCGCATGCGCAGCGAGGGTACAGTAGTTGGGTCTGTCTGTCTGCCCTTCTGTGTGTCTGTTACTCTTCATCTCACTTCTCGAGTGTTCGTTCGTCTCACAAAGGATAGCACCTACCTAACGGGCAATGAAGGTCAGAAGTTTCGAACGGTTTTCTTTGAAAACGCTCCGCTGCAAAGCTAGAGCGCTTCCACCATTGCACGGCTAATGCGAAGTCGGCCATTTTTATCGCTGCGGAAAATGGGCATGCGCTTATAGTTTGAACAGGCTTCGACCGGGTCTTGAAGAAATAACGAAGGGCGTGTATCGACTCCCACATGCTATCTACTACTGTAGCTAGTCCGTGTCAGACTCTCCACGAGCTACTAGCGTGGATACCACGAGTAAACGCATACTAAAAGCCCAGCCCATCAATTAGTGGTACAGCGCATGCGCAGTTCACCGAGGGTTTGCACTTCATTTTTACAGGGGTTAAAAACAGTCTTGGGGAAAGAAAAGGTGGTCTTATTGTTAGGGTTTCCTTGATAGTGGTATCATTGTGTTCATAATAAAACCAACTGAACTTCGTCTTATTACACATGTGTTCAGGGTATAATACGGACTTCTTCTATATAAAGTTCTGCACAGAATTTTCCCCGTAGTACATGAAGTTCTCGGTCTTTGACTAGTTCATGCTCTTTTGCTAGTCGCAGTGAGCTGTAGCTTCCGTTTCTCTAGACAGGAAAGCCATCACTCAGACAGTGTTTTAGTTAGTACTTTCACACCATTGTGAAGCCATTAGAGAAATCTGTGTGAGTGTGCTCGTCGAGCCGTTTGTCTGGACAGCTTGCAGATGTAGCCCTCTGCAGTTACGTAGGACACTCACTCCACTCGCCCAAATGATTTCCACTACTACATATTGGTCCCAGTGGATACCACAGTGAACAGACAATGACTATAGTGGGATAAACTAAAGTCAGACACAATGGAAGTAGTGGAGACCGGTGGTCATAGTGGACAAAATGGGCGAAAAGGAGTCACGGTGGTGACAGAGTGGACATGCAGTGAGTAGTGCAGGGATCAGAGGGAGTCACTTACTTCTGGCCTGCCTCACTTCAATAGTTCTGTTGAATCTGACTTTACAGCACTTGGTTGAACATGGAGACACTGAACGGGAAGAAGAAACACTTGCTGGCAGACTCACACACATAATCCACACACTATCATGGAGCATTTTAAAGGTAAGTAGGATGGCAAGGTTTGTACAACTATTTGCTTGATATCGCTAGGCACCGATAATGTATGAAGCTAGGTACTGGGGGATTTTATCAGCCTATACAATCTGCAAGCAGCCTATACATGTGCAAGCAGGGTTCATACATACATGTCGGTTGCCTAGGGATATCCAACAAATCTGTTGCAGTACCCTTACAGGGCTTATGCTGTCCTGTCTGGGCACTGCAACATACATATTCACATTTCGCGATTGCGGCTAAGGAGTGGCCAAACTTAAGACGGCTGTGTACAGTGTGGCCACTTCTTGGTGCAGTGACCCTAAGATCTGTATGTGAGGAGAGACTAACGTGGGCCGGTCTGACTGCGGTCCTCCTCTGTCAGGGCACATTTGAGTGGTTTGAACTCTGATGGACCCTGTATGCATACACACGCGCGGTAAAATAACAAACTGACAGACAAGCACATACACACTCCTAAACCTGTACACCACTTTTACTACTGCTTGTATGTGTATGTATCATGCCCTCAGAAAACATGTAAATGAGTATGGAGACTGGAACACACTAAACTCGTGGCCCCACTTGAAAATGCAATAGTGTCTCATTGTGAACGACAACATGTGAAGGTAGAGACAATGCACATGTGTGTGTGTGTGCTTATACATACAGCACAGTACCAGCTGAAAACGAGGACTACTACTGTAAGCATAAGGAACAAACAGAGAATAGAATGCTACAACTGGTCCAGCGGTGGCTCACCAGCATGCAGGGTTCCAACTTGCACACTGGAGGAGGAGAGTTAACACTGCAGGTGTCTCCATTCAGAGAGCCAACAGGTCTGAACAGCAACCGCCCACCCACAACTCTGGCATGTCTGTTCCTCCCCCGACCTCTCTTCTCTATGACTGTGGATATCTCTGCCCCCTCCTCCTCCTCCTCCTCCTCCTCTCCATGCCCTGTGTGGGTCTCCGGACTCATCACAGACTGTTGCTCCTGGTGGTGGGGTGTCAGTTTGAGTGATGTAATGTCCTCCTCCTTCCCTACTCCTTCACACTGGGGAAGAGAATAATACCTACATAACAATACCTGGTATAGCTCAGTTGGTAGAGTGCTCGCCTAGACTGCAGACTGTCTGCAGACTGTCGTGGGTTCAAATCCCACCCAGGGACAGCTCTCTTTTTCCTTGGAAAAAGAGAGCTGTCCTGGGTGTAGTTGATTTGTTTGTCTTGCCTTTGCCTTTCTAACTTGTAGTTTTCACATGCATATTGCAGGTGCAATAGTATTGCACTGCATATGGGTGCCAGGAAGTGTACATTATAGAACAATTTGCATACAATTTTCGTGAGGAGGATTATGTGTATGTAATTGGTACCACCACATAGTTTACTAGGCCAAGACACAAGGACACATGCAGGAGGCATCTCATCACAAACAGCTTGGAGTTATGTTGGAACCCAAGTACAGCTACATATCGCAGTGCCTGCAATATTATAGTATTGAGTAAACCATTAGCTCCACTATTGCGTAATAATCTCAGGATATTGCCCATCAGGAATACTATGTGTACTAGGAGGTGAATGCATGGCATTTTTGGTGAGCGGGCGTGAGCACACAATGACTGTATCTGCATTACCCATCCTAGCTGTATTTAAAACTTGCACTTTGGAACCACAAGAGGTAGAGGCCTGGTCATGCACCGAATAGTGCAGCGAATGCCACCGAATGGACGAGAGTTCTCTGGCTGGCTAGATCGTGCATCAATGATAGCGCGTACAATTCAAACACATGTACAGTTAGACGACGTACGGTGACAACTATCACGCCGTCCGGACCAGGTTAGCTCACTCCCACACGCCAATAATGTTCACACATCAACTCCAAGCCTTCGGTAAAATGCCAAGTCTTCTACTACAGTTCCAACAGAAAGCCACATACTTCAAATACTGTACCAATAAAAATAGGATACTCAAAAAGTCGTTTACTGACAATATTTGGCTAATGGAGCTCCCATCATAATTATATACGTACGAACACTGTATGACACGCAAAAATACATATATACATGCGTGGAGTAAAGAGTGTGTATACATCAGAAAACCGTTCAAACCGCTGTAGCTTCTTGTGTACAGTGTACGTGTAGCCTTACCGGCACACAGAAGCAGACTACACATATACATGACCAAGGCCAGACATGTTTCACCCTTCTCATTACTGGTATCATATAGTCCCATGAGACATGTAGTAGAATGACAGCTAGTTGACTCACACTATTTCTGTGTCCAGTCACCAGTGGTTGTCCAGCACAGGTGTCTCCTGGTGTACACTGACCTGTGCTCTCATCAATACCACACGGGCTGGACTCGGCCTCCCTCACTGGGCCCACCACCGAACCCTGCCCACAAACAACAGCATGTGGTTCACATTGGCCTACATCACACACAACTGCCGCGTACACGTGTAATTTGTGAACAGGACAGCCAGGCAAGAGCAATGTCAAAGCACCAGTGCAAAAAAACACTTGCCCCGTGTTTAGGCTCAGTGCTTGTGCACAATATTACACATAAAGTTTGACTAGGCCCGAAATGTGTACGCAATGCAAAAGGAAAGCTAGGGATGAGACTAATACGGCTGTGATATGAAGGTGTGTAGCAAGAGGTGGTTTAGTTCGAGGAAATCAGTAGATGAAGAGTTAACCCCGCATTGTAATAATCTGTACTGCTACAAACAGTCCATCGCCCTGCTTTTATGAATGTTTTCAAGCAAATAGAAATGCACGGTAGAATTCACTTCACTATTTCGTAGTACACACTAACATGTGGCGCACACTAGACAGTAACATGATTACGGTGCAGTTTACTCAAACCTCTGTTTTGGTAGTCACAGTCTCTCCCTTCCCTTCTCCCCACATCCGCAGCCACACCCTCCCCACACCTGCCCCGACCCCCACCCTCACTCTCCCTCCTCCACCTCTCCCCCTCCTCACACACCCCTCCCAGCACATACGTTGCCAGGGGCGCCAGAACAGGAATGCGGAGAGGTAGAGGGAGAAGAGTGTGGTCTTGAAGTACGTCCAGAAGAAAGGTTTGTCATAGTGCTCATCATGGAACAGGTGCTGTGTGTACAGTGGAACCATGCTCATCATGTGTACCATGCTCATCATGGAACTGGTGCTGTGTGTGTGTACAGTGGAACCATGCTCATCATGTGTACCATGCTCATCATGGAACAGGTGCTGTGTGTGTATACAGTAGAACCATGCTCATCATGTGTACCATGCTCATCATGGAACAGGTGCTGTGTGTGTGTACAGTGGAACCATGCTCATCATGGAACAGGTGCTGTGTGTGTATACAGTAGAACCATGCTCATCATGTGGAACAGGTGCTGTGTGTACAGTGGAACCATGCTCATCATGTGTACCATGCTCATCATGGAACAGGTGCTGTGTGTGTAGTAACCATGCTCATCATGGAACAGGTGCTGTGTGTACAGTGGAACCATGCTCATCATGGAACAGGTGCTGTGTGTGTATACAGTAGAACCATGCTCATCATGCTCATCATGGAATAGGTGCTGTGTGTGTATACAGTAGAACCATGCTCATCATGTGTACCATGCTCATCATGGAACAGGTGCTGCGTCTACAGTGGAACCTCCAATAAGTAACCCCCCCAGCTAGTCACGACCTCTCTACAAAGGACACTTGCTTCAACCAAATTCTAATACTTTAGTGCATCATTAGACCTCTGAGATGGGGACGACCTCTCTCCAATGTACAAAATAGTTGGCCCCATAGTGTCCCTTGTTGGGGGGTTCCACTCTACACGGACAGTGGTAGTGTGTCTTTCGCACCATGCAGTGCCTTTGGTGCATGCATAGACACATATAATTCCGCTATAGTATCTATGGTCATGGCAAACACTAAAAGTGAGTAGCTACTCGGGTTAGCAGCCTACAACTTTGGCCATCAACCACAAACCCAGACCAATGCACGAACATGAACTTGTAAATCAAAAACAGAGTACATAGCTACACCAAACGAAATTGATGAGAATGGGGTTTAAAACGTTTTAACATGTACCGGTGGATAGAAAAACGGAGTATATGGTCTTACCCGGCTTATTCCGGAGGAACCGACCCAGACAACGTCCACAAACAGCAGTAGAACGACACCGACTATCAGCCCCTGCCGTACCCTCATCCCCGCTATCGGGCTGCCTCGATTTCCCGGCCGGAAAGCACAAAGTGCGGACTACCAACAACAGCTATTGTGAACTCCATTCAATGCGCACCAAAGGGAAGGGCTCGTACACACTCACGTGACGTAGAAACTTACCGCGCATGCGTACGTGTACATGCAAAATGATAAGGGGGTGCTACATATTTATTTTCTTGTAAATGTTCCTCCCCAGTGAGGCTAGGCGATCGCGATACTCCAAGTTCTTGTAGTGGTTCTCTGGGACTCCAGTGTAGCCCTCAATGGCCCCCCAGCAGGCAGCAGCAATGATCCCTGTGCTGTCAGAGTCTCCTCCGTGCAGCATGCTGTGCTCACACAGATCAATCCACTGCCGCCTCTTGTCTCCCGCTGGTCTCCACGTGTTGAGCAAGGCCTCGTAGGCAATTATGGGGGCATCGTGACCACTGGCACCTCCAGTTCCACTGTAGCTCAAGCTCTTGTAGAAGGCGTCTCTCTCCTTGACACTCTTCACGTCGTGGTCTTCAAACACGGCATCCGTCTTCCCCGAGGTGAGCTGTCGCAGAGCCAGGTAGTCCTTCCAGTACTGCTCAAAGTAGGTCCAGTTGTCCATGTGCTCCTTGTGGTCTCTCTGAGGACTGTGCTGGATGATGTACTGCTTGGCCGTGTCCAGAGTGTGCAGGAGTCCAGCGCCCCATTCCCGGAGTGGCCTCTTCTGGACCGAGTAGGACACAAAGAGAGCCACGGCCAGTGAGCCCAGGTAGCCAGTCGGGTGATGGTGGGTCATCCGTCCGGACTCAATGGAGACTGACACCAGTTTGTCCAGCTGTTCGGGTGTCCAGAAGTACAGGCCAATAGGAGCGGCTCTCATGGCTGCGCCACACCCTCCACCTTTCCTGTCGAACGGGATCACCCATCCTTCCTTTGCATGGGGCTTCAGCATGTGGACTTTGCTGCTGCAAGTAAGACCAGGAGCCCTGCCAGCCATATCCCGCATGCACTCTTTGTACTTGAGAGCGATGGCGGAGTAGAGTTGGTCGCTGTCTGACCACTCGGTGAGGAGGGCCTCGGCTGTTGCGATGTGCATGACGGTGTCATCGCTCACTCTCCAATCTTTTGGTGTAACATTAACACTCTCTATTCCGCCCAACTCCTTTGCCTCTTCGTGGATGCGCTCCCCAGAGCGACAGACCTCCCAGGTATCGTTTCTGTATCCTAGAGCGTCTCCGACTCCGCCCAGCACCATACAGGCCTCGAAACAGAGTCTTTGATCGTCAGCAGGTACTGATCCAGCCATGGTAGCGTAGGAAGAGATGAGGTGAAAAGCAAATCTTCGGACGTTGTATATACCAGCCGCACGCCGTCTTCCTATTAGCAGCCCCGGCCGGCCGATCGAAACGCAGCAGAAAGACATCTAAGCGCATGCGCACTATCACTTACGTACGTACGTACGTGGCACGGCGGCTAGCCTCACGGGTGTTTTACGCGTGCAAATGGTGGTTGCGCTTAAATCGCGCGGTTACCTAAATTCAATCAAACCGCGCGTGCGCCACGTTAGCAACGCCACCGCCTCAGTTCCCATAGAGTTTGTTTACATATACTTTGGAATTCAGTTATGGAACGTGTAGAGAAGCAGCAGATGTTGTTCTGAAAGTTATAGGAGCCCTCTTGATACAAATCCTCTTGTACAGCGGTCATGAATGTCAAGCACTTAGCAGAGCACGTGAAGTCGGGCTGCGAACACCTTGCTCGTTTCACCATCCAGCTCACGATGAAGCAGATCATCCCCGTCCGCTCCAGTCACCTCCACACTGACCACCACATCTTTCGTGAACTGTGGCAACAGCCACCACCAGTGTGTACATAGTGCGGTACGCAACGTCGAGTACGCGTCGCGCAAAATAGTTCTGGCATCAGCACCGTCGACTAGCCTGTCCGCCATAGATGTCTCTTCGCCGTCCTTAAAGGTGTATGTGATATCAATTCCAGACTACGTCCTCCACGCGGGACAAACCCGAGCCCGCGAGCGTGATATAGATCCCCGAGAGCGCGCCGGTCACGTGAACCGACGCCGGCCAAAGTATGGTCAACGTGCGTAGAGTCAGAGCCTCACCGTTCGCTGCGCTTTCCTCACGCTCTAAGCGCTTGTACGACGCGACAGCGGCGCAGCGCAGATATCGCACCCTTACGTTTCCATGGTCCCGTTGCTAAGAAAAATGTGCGGCGCGCGCCAGCGTTCGTGACGTCAACGTCTACTACGCGTAATCCGTAAATGAAACACCCGTGGCCTAGCCGCGGTGGTGGAGAGGCTAGGCGCTAGCTAGGCCGACGATGACTAGTCAGCGATACGAGGCGTGTATGGTGCTGAGCGGAGTTGGAGACGCTCTGGGCTACAAGAACGCGTCCTGGGAGTTCTGTAGGTCGGGTGAGCGTATCCATGAAGAGGCGCAGGAGCTGGGCGGTATTAGAGAGTGTGACTGTAACTCCAAAAGATTGGAGAGTGAGCGATGACACTGTGATGCACATCGCAACAGCCGAGGCCCTCCTCACCGAGTGGTCAGACAGCGACCAACTCTACTCCTCCATCGCTCTCAAGTACCTGGAGTCCATGAAAGACATGGATGGGAGGGCTCCTGGTATCACCTGCTCCAGAAAAGTCCACATGCTGGACCCTCACAAGAAGGGTGGGTTGATAATCCCTTTTGACCGAGCAGGTGGAGGGTGTGGTGCAGCCATGAGAGCCGCTCCTATTGGCCTGTACTTCTGGAGACCCGAGCAGTCTGGACAAACTGGTTGTCAGTCTCCATTGAGTCCGGAAGGATGAGCCACCATCACCCGACTGGCTACCTGGGCTCACTGGCCGTGGCTCTCTTTGTGTCCTACTCGGTCCAGAAGAGGCCACTCCGGGAATGGGGCGCTGGACTCCTGCACATTCTGGACACGGCCAAGCAGTACATCATCGAGCACAGTCCTCAGAGAGACCACAAGGAGCACATGGACAACTGGACCTACTTTGAGCAGCACTGGAAGGACTACCTGGCTCTGCGACAGCTCACTCGGGGAAGACGGATGCCGTGTTTGAAGACCACGACGTAACAGTTGTCAAGGAGAGACGACGCTTCTACAAGAGCTTGAGCTACAGTGGAACTGGAGGTGCCAGTGGTCACGATGCCCCATAATTGCCTACGAGGCCTTGCTCACACGTGGAGACCAGCGGGAGACAAGAGGGCGGCAGTGGATGATCTGTGTGAGCACAGCATGCTGCACGAGAGAGACTCTGACAGCACAGGATCGTTGCTGCTGCCTGCTGGGGGGCCATGGAGGGCTACACTGGAGTCCCAGAGAACCACTACAAGAACTTGTGAGTATCGCGATCGCCTCGCCTCACTGGGGAAGAAGATTCACCAAAAAGTTAGCACTGACATATATAATAGGCAGAGAAACATAAAAAAACTGTAGCTATAAGGACAGTTTCTGAGACATAATGTTCACTGCATTTCAAAATGTGCTGAGTCAGCAATAATGTATATACAATACGAAAGTGAAGCACAGGGATCATTGTGCTGCCTGCTGGGGGCCATGGAGGGCTACACTGGAGTCCCAAGAACCACTACAAGAACTTTGAGTATCGCGATCGCCTAGCCTCAC